TAATTTGGCATGAACATACTTTATATACAGTTATGAAAAAATTGTGCTGTGAATGGATGATTATGAATGTAATGCACTTCACTATTGTCATGCATGTAAGAAATAATAATAAAAAAAGAAAAAAATAATAGAGCAAGCAGCCCTTAAATCTCTGTGCTAGTGAATGCTATGACCTATGTAGTATTAAAGCTGGAAAATGATATTAATGTATTACTGAGAAAATAATTTGGTTACAACAAAATTTACCCATAAATGGAAGAATGTAGATTCAAAAGAGTATCTGTGAGTAAGCACTTTTAGGTATTCTACTGTGCTCAATATTACTTTCCTATTTCTGTGGTACTTGCTTTACCAGATAGTTTCTGAGTTATGTATCTCAAATATAAATAATTTGGGCTGGGGATGTGGCTCAGTGATAGCATGCATGAGATACCAGCACCACCAAAAAAAAAAAAAATCAAATACAAATAATTTTCCTAAAATAGTCTTCTGACACCTTCTTTTTACCACTTCTGCATTAGTATGGCCAGATAGGATAGTTCTATGTTTGAAGGTTAGCTAGCTCACATAAACACTGACATCTACATACTGCTTTAAATTCATATATGACAATCATAGAACTCATTTTTTTCTATGATAACCACTCAAATGGATTCTCATGGTCTAGTAGATTTCTCAAAGCATAGTGGAGCTACATTTTTTGAGGACAAATACATGCAGCTCCACATATTTGCTCAATTTGAAGGATGATCATTGTAATGAATGAACTGCAACTTCATATTTTAACTAAGTATTTTTATCTCATCACCTGGCAATACCATACCTTCAGTTCCCAAGATCCATGTGCTCTTGAGTTACTGTTTCTAGAAAAGGAAATAATGCAATTCATTTATTAGAATTCAGATAGCAAAACAGAACTCCTTATCTAAAAAGAATGACATTTATGTTTTCCCTCTTCACTAAAATCATAAGTAAAAACAACTAATAGAAATAGTGCCTGTGTGTACCTATACCTCTTGGTAAAAAGGCTACTTAAGCAGAATGATTAGTAGAATAGAGAGAAGGGAAACAAGGGGTTGGAGGAACAGAGTTGGGAAGGAGAGGTTCTAGGGACTGAATTAGAAGAAATTATATTTCATGCTTTTATGTTTAAATGAATTATATTGCCATATATGACTAAAAAGAATAAAATATTTAAAAAATAAAACGGAGAATAATAAAGGAAGGGGATTGAGGGGGAGGTAGGAGGTAAGAGAATATAGAAGTGATGGGGAAGGATGACTACCAAATTTGCAAGAGGGTTCACTTTAAGACTATAATAGTCACTTACATATAGATGCATTTCCGTACCCTCTTATTCTATTTTTCAAATTTTTTTTACATTGATGATAATTACACTTTATGCTCACTTAAAAAGAACATGTATTTGCTTCCACAATCTTTGGTGATAACTTATTTACATAATTCAGTTAAGAATAAATGTAAATAAAAACTAAAATTACATAAAGCAAATAATTATCATTCTTTACAAACACCAAAAAATATTTACTAACATGAAGAAACCTGCTTGTTATTTTGTTATTTGTAAGACTATTTGGGTTTTTCAACTTCTTAATACAATTCATATTTCCTGATATTAAATTGAGGAAAATGCTTATACTTAATCCTAAAAGATGTCTTAGATAGAAAGACTTAGAAACAAATTTTCAGTATCTTTTTTAACAGTCCAACCACATGTAATCTCTTTAGGCCAATATAATGCAAAGTGAATGCCAATGGCTACTCTGTCAGGATCACTTAGGGGGCTTATTGAAAATACCTCAAAACTGCAAAATAAGTATACCTATATTTTAAACAATCACTCAAGGAGATTCTTAGGGACACCAAATATTTTAAGAACCACTGCTTACAAATCCCATCATTTCACACCCAGTGCCTTAAATTTTAATGTTGGAATGCTGTACTTCATTGTTTTTGAATGACTATGTTTAACACCACCTAGTGGTAAAAATTCCTTATTTCTATTTTTTTAGGGGTTCATTAATACAGAGTAGGATCCTGATTAAAATACTATAGAACAAAATTCAGAGAAAGTTAAAATTTTAGAGAAATAACTTCCTTGATATTACAATAAACTTTTTATCTACAATATGAAAACCTGTGGAATTTATAACACCAAATATTTTATATATATACACACATTATATATATAATATTATATATAATGTTTATATATTAATATTATATATATATACATTATATGTAATATATGGTGTTATAAATTCCACAGGTTTTCATATTATAGATAAAAAATTTATTGTAATACCAAGGATGTTATATATTATATATATATATATATATATATATATATATATATATATATATATATACACACACACACACACACACACACATATACATAAAAATGTCTTTTTGGTATTTTAAAGGAACATATGGGACATCATACTCTAGAAGCTGAGAGTCTAACAGCTACATTTGGCACCTGTAATCTACCATAAAAGACCTGACTGAACTCATGAATTTACAAGAAAGCTCTGATCAGGATTTATTTTAAATATCATTTATTATTTTAATGACATACTTATAAGAGGTTTATACCTATATTGTTATAATTTAAAAAACTTTTCAAAGAAATATGTAATAAAACTTCACTATGTGGCAGTTTTAATAACTGAGCAACTAAATATTCACATTGTTTTTATATCCAAAGTGGATCTGAGAAGTAAACATTTAGGTAAAGACATAAACACTAGATTACAAACTGCTATTAGGTTCTAGAATTTACTTATTTTAAGAAAAACATAACATTCTGGCTTTTGAAGTTGTAGAGATCGACCATAGACACAGGAAAGTAGGACTAAGGCTAAATGATAGGATTAAGATGAGTGCACACTGAGGCTACCACTGTTCATTGAGATATGCTACTGAGAAAGAAACTAAATTAAAGGTTGAATTGAAAAAGCAAAAAAGGATTTCATAGGCAGAGGAGTATAATAAGTCTCTTTAGAATTTATATGAACAACTTAAGGAAATAAACCTCGATGAGGGACTCTACCGACATAACCATTTTTTGGGATTGTCTGCTTGACCTTAAATGCAAATAAACGAGAAACTAGATCCAAACAAAACTTGGGGAGCATAGAGGTATACAATAGCTACCATGTGAAAGACTCACGTTCTTTGTGGCCCAGTGAGAACCATAAAGACTAATCAGTGAAAATTGCAGGGAATGAGAGATTTATCCCAAATATAAGGATTAACCAAAGATGCAATAGACTCAGGGAAGAGGTAGGGAGCTCCCTCTCTATAATTATGTTATTTTTACAGTTTACATTAACCATCTGGACAGGAATATTTTTGAGGGAATTCATGCACTGAGTGGTGAAGCCAGATAACCTGTAAGGCATAATTTAATCCCAATCTGTGAAAACTGAACTATGTGTACAGTAAACGTGCTTGGGAGGAATAAATCTAACTGTTGGTAATGAATTCTCAACTTTCCTCACTTATGTTTTTCATTTCTAAAGACAGCCTTGCTTTCATTTTAAAATATGCCCTCTGGCTCACAGAAAGACTCTTGGTTAAATTCTTTTTCAATTAAGTCTTGCCTGGGAAGATAAGATAGGAAATTTTCTTATCTAAACTTACTAAAATTACTGATTCAAAAAAAGGGATTCTAATTTTTCACTGGAGAAATGTCCAAGTATAAAATACTCTTTTATGCTCACTGAATTTAATCTTTCAGTATTTTTAGTTTAACTCAGAATTTAAGAGTCATAATGACGAGGCAATCAAGTAATAATTTAGCAAATGCATATCATTTTTTAAAGGTGCTAAGTTATTGATTGAGATATATCTTTTTGATATATTATCATTTACTTCAAGGACTGATAAAACTTTGTCTTGGATTTTTAAAATATAAGCAAAGTAACTTTCTAATTTTTAATCTTTAATTTCAAAATAATTATACTTTCTATCATAGGCTGTTTTGAAAACTGCTTACATGTTATATTTTTGAAGTGGTGATTATATTTCTTTATTTATAAAGGGAACAATGTCCACCCCCACCTCCTGCAACCATGACATTAATTTAAAATATCAACAATAACTTTTAATTTTTATAGCTGTTGCTTTATAATCTTAAAAGGTTTTTATAAAATTTTCAAGTTTTAATATAATTGCAAATGTACAGTATAAAAATATTTCTAATGCTGCCTTTTTGCTCGTCCTTATAGTAAAAGTAACCAGTTAATCTGCATGTGTACACTGAGGAGCAACTACATATTTTATTGACTCTAAGGTGCACCTAACTGAAAAAAGCACCTTTATTTTATGTTTCATTTATGAAAGAAAAATAAGTTAGTATAACTGTATGCCAATTACACTATGGCACACATTTGATATCAAGATGTTTCCATCTTAAGTGTGTAAAAAAAATCAATGAAATAGATTATTTCGTCAACCTTTAAACACTGTCTATTAAATTTTTTCATCCCTGTCTTTGACATAAATAAGTCATAATATAGTTAAGCAAAGAAAACTTTATTTCTGCTACACATAACAACATATTGCTCTAAGAGAACTTTATTTCTGCTACACATAACAACATATTGCTCTAAGAAACAACTACCATATTAGTTTTAGCATTAGGTATGGATTCAAAAATACATGTCAGCAATTCCTGCTTCCCAGACAAAATAATGTTGTGCAGACTATCAGGTATATGAAAAAAAAAAGCTGTCAACTGTCCACAGGGAGTGCGTCCAGTCACATTTTCAGTCAGTCAGCTGAGGATTATGTCATTATTTAGTCTTTGTTCTGTAGAAAGAACACAACACAAGTATGAAAATCATCACCTGAAAGAAAATAGCTGTTGCATATAGTATTCCTAAAATGTTAGGAACTGTTCTTTTGTTTCAATATAATCAATGTTATCTGTTTGATCATAGATGCCCCCCAATAAACAAAACCAAACTTACTCAGAAGGATGATGCAAGCAGGTATTGAATTTCTAGAGGGAAAATGCTGTGAATTAATATAAAATCAGATGCTCTGAAATACTAAAATTTATGTTTCCTCAAGCAGAAGAAATATATTAAGCACATCAGACACATAAAACTCAACTATTTTCAGTATTATATTTTTAGATGACTTTCTTCTATTTCCTAGGTGTGGTTCAATTAATTCCAGGCTTATTCCTCAAAGGAACTAACCTTCATGAACTATGTGTCTGTCCTCTTGAAATTAAAGAAACATAATATACCACCCCTTCCCTCCAGACTTCAACAGTTAAAACCTTAAAATTTGGGAAAGTCTACCATACTTATTGAGCCTTAAGATAAGATTATTCATTTTATTATTTATTTATTTTTTTATGTTGCCGGGCTGGTCTAAACTCTTGAGCTCAAGTGATCCTCCTGCGTCAGCTTCCCAGGTAGTTGAAATACAGTTGTGTCACCATGCCTGGCCAATATATTTATTTAATTCACCAAAAAAAGGGAGAATCTCATTACAGAGTCCTTCGTAAATAGAAGATGAAGAGCAAAAATGAATAAAAAGCCATGCTGCAATTGGAATACATTTAAATTATAGCTAATTTTATTCTACCAAAAAAAATTTTCAACTAATCTGACCCTACTTTATCTTTGCCTTAAAAATATATAACAGTTTAGTAAAGGAAAAAAAATGATAGACTTATATTTTTATGACTAGCTAAGCTAAAGAATGTGCAAGTCCTTCAATGAAGAAAATTGGATGAATGTACATTGCTTTTAATGGGAAAGACATGGTATTAGAGATCTTAGTTTTCACAGTAGCAGACATGAGATAGACTGATACCATTAAACTTTTAAGTTTTTGATCATTTAGATGCCATTATTTTGCATGAGATCATCTATCTCAAAGGTTTCTCTGAAGCCATATGTGGAAGAGTTCTTTTTGTGTGTGTGCTGGGGACTGAATCCAGTGCATAATGCATCTGAGGCAAATACTCTACCACTGAGCTACATCCCCAATCCTTAATTTTTTTAAACAAGGAACTTTGCTCTCTCATTGTCTTTCAACAACTCTAATAACTCTTTCTAATAACTGGATCTCTGAAAGGTAAAAAGAGCTGCCTAATCATGAGAAGTATCAGAGCTGAAATTCCAACCCAGATATTCTGATTTTAATTTTAAGTCCAGTATTCTCTTTAAAATGTAAATAATCATTAGGAAAGGCTCAATCATAAGAGTAATTTCTATATTTTTCCTTGGTGGAAATTAGTGTTATAGTCCTTTTTAAGGACAAGGATTTGTTGAACAAAAGCAAGAATTGTTAATTATATTGAAATATTCACAGACAGGAATAAACACAACTATTGCGATCTATTTTAGAGGACAGCCTGTCTAAAACAGAATTCAGTTTTTAACATTTTACTTATAAAACAGGAAAAATGGCTAATTTGTTTTCACTGGCAATTTAATATTCCTAGGGTTAAATTGCTACACTTTATGGTGTGATGAGAGTTAGTTTTGCCATCAAATATTTAAAAACATGTAAAAAGTAGAATTATTAACAATGGGCCCAGTGGGCACTTTCTATTGCCCAATGCCTTCTGTGAAGGAAGAACAAATAATCACTGGACTTGCTCTATGAGAAGAAGGTCATCAGCAATAAGCCCTGTGATGATTGTTTTGATACTTGTTAGCTCACATAATTGGTTGGAAAGAAAACCTGGAACTACAAAACAGATTCATTAGACCTGTAGTAGATTTGGGAGGCTGATGAATGTGGGAGTGAGGAAACCCAGCATCCTTGAAACCCAGAATTCATTTACAGAATTAAAAAGCCTAACTAACATTAAAGAATGTCTCCCCAAAGCAAGGAGATATAAACCGTCACAAAAGAGGAAACTGAAGTCTGATTTTTAAAACTAATAAGTAGGAAAAGCGATGCACATGGCTATGTCAGTATTTATAACAAAGAAGAATTTTTGGCAAATGGTCAGGGTTTAAAAAAAATACATATAAGCACACGAGAATATTTTCCAAATATGTACTTTTAATGCATAAACTCATAAATATAAATCCAGAAAACACCAATATTTAGGTTTCAAATGATACCCAAAAGGTATATTATTTGATATTGCTTTTTAGGCATTTCCTTAGTGACAAATCAAAACATACTTTATAAAGACTGTTAAAAATTACCTCAATTCATAATTCAGGACACCAATTTTTCAAGTTAAAAATCTCTAGAAATATTTCAATTTTAAGCTTTATTTAAGAATACAGTAAAAAAAAATCCAAGTCTTGGGATATAGATATTCACAAATAAAAAATAAATGTTTAATTTTCTAAATTGAAATCTGATTTACCCATTTTTCCAGTAAACATCAAAAGCATTTTTTTAGAGTTTAAATATTTTAAGTTTAAAAATGTGTTGTTAAAAAAAACTTGGCTTTCAAAGAGAGCTTAAGTCAGGGCTTTTAAATTATCTTCTAAATCTCTAAAAAAAAAAAAGTCCGTAATTCAAGTACTTATATAGATTCTTCTTAATTTTAATTTTAAAATTCAGATTAGACGTGCTTACCTCAAGGATCAGTAAGTTCTTTGTCTTTTGTTAGATTCTTCTCTTGGGGAATCCGCGAGCATAACTTTAAGTCTGACCCCATTTAGAATCTTTCCATGTAAAGTAGCAATGGCATCATTAGCGCTTATTCTATCTGCATACTTGACATAACCCACATTTTTTCCTGACACAAGGTAAACTTCAATCAGGTTACCAAAACGACTGAAACAAAGTAAAAAAACAAAAAAACAACAACTGAAACAGAAAAAGACTGCTACTCAGTTCTAAAACCTTGTTTTTTTTTTTTTTTTTTTTCTTTTTTGCTACCAGGGATTAAACCCAGGGGCTCTTAGCTACCAAGCCACATCCCCAGCCCTTTTAAAAAATTTTATTAGAGGGTCTTATTGAGTTGCTTAAAGCCTCACTAAATTGCTGAGGGCTAGGTTTGAACTCACAATCCTCCTACCTCAACCTCCCCAGTCGCTGGGTTTACAGGCATGCACCATGCCTGGATGGACTCCATTCTTGACTCATTTATCACCCTTACTCTTGTGTTCAACATCGAATGCATGCCAATTTCAATACTTAAATATCTCTTTACTCAGTTAATGTCTCTTCTTTTTACTTGGGTCTCTTTCCTTATTCAAATTATCCTTATCTTTTCCTTATATTACTCTAATGCCTTCTTCCTTGTTCTGTGACCTGTCCTTCTTCATTCTTCACCCTGTTTTCTATTTCTTTCTAAAATAAAATATGATCATTTACTCCGTAAAAATCTCCTCAGTAGCTCACTCCCCACTGCTTCCAAGGTGAGGACAAACTCCTTAAATAGCTTTCAACATGGTCCTTGGCCTCCTTAGCTTCATGTTCCCTTATAATCTCTTTAATTCTGTATACTAATCACCTCCTTTCACACTCTCTTTGGCAGGAAAAATCACCCACACCCCCAGTTTCTTCCTATGGCAAATTATTTTTAACTTTCACTCCTCAGAGTTTCTAAGGTAGGTTCCCCTCCCATGGATTTCACATATTCCTTACCACAGCATCATCTCACTCACTAGATTGTAATTCCCTATTTGTCTGTTTCCTACATGACATTAGTTCTAAGGGGACAAGGACTACAATCTCGTCAACATAATACAGTAATGTTTTCTTTACATAACTGTCTTTAGCATTTAACACAGTGACTGCCTGACACTGAGGAGTGATTCATGAAAAAACAACAAAACAAAACTAAACTAAATGAATCAATTAAACTCAGTTAAACAAAGGTCAAAATACTTGAACCACATGCCTGATATCTTAAGCAGAACTTTAACAAGCTTTCTAATGAGCCTGCTTAATTCACTAACATTCCTGTAAGGCAAACAAGAAAGTGACCATAAAGGAAAAGCTCAAATAGGGGTTATATTAAAAACACAAAAATAAATAAGAACCTTCTACCCTTAACACTTATTGTACTTATTATTCTTTTTTTTTCTTTTTTTAGTTGTAGATGGATACAATACCTTTATTTTGTTTATTTAGTTTGTTTATGTGGAGCTGGGGATTGAACCCAGTGTCTCACACATGCTAGGCAAGCACTCTACTACTGAACCACAACCCAGCCCAACACTTAATATTCTTTCCTATAAGTAACTGTTTACTCAATGTGGTTATATAATTTTTAGGATCCAACTGAGCACTGACAAAACAGAAGATGCTTAGTAAATACTGTTCAGCTGAATTATAACTATGAAGGAAAATCTATGTAAAAAGAATTTTAATGGACAAGTCTACACAGATGTATCTTCTATCAGGAGACAAAAGGTTTGTCCATTCTATGCAAGCAGCTTTTCAAAACAATACTACATGCTTTAAACAAAATAACAGGAAGTTCTGTGTAGAAACTTAAGATGTGTGAGTGGCATAGAAGAGAAGGAAATGGGGGATTATAAATTCAAAAACATGATTCAAATAAGAAGTTTTTAAACCCACAGAAAAAATCATCTCTTCCTAAGTAGGTATTGGATAAATGAAGTTTCAAGATTGTGAGAATGCTTAAATTACTAGTTCAAATCTTACCAGAATATATCTTCTAACACATCTAAAGGTAAAGGATGAGGATTAAACACAATAAAAAGTCTTTCTTTCACAGGAGTTTCAGGAGGAGCTTTCTTTTTGCATGATGGAAGTATAACATCTGTCTGGATTTGAGGCAACTGGGATCCAGAACTTCCTCCAAATTGCTGTTGAAGAATTAAGTACAAAACAAGAAAAAGAAAAGCTGCATTTCAGGTATTTTTGGTCAAAAGATTAAAAACGTGCAAATCATGGCTCTTACATGGTTTCCTACTATAGTAATGAAAAATTTCTTACATGGGTAATAAACAAAGGTAATATTTATTTAATACTCTGTAGACTGTATTATGCTCTGTTGATTATATTATAAAGGTTAAAATTCTTACCTACTTACCAGAAATTGCTGTTGACTTGGGTTATTCCACACCATTGATGCAAGCTGTGCAGCTACCATCTGTGTTGCCATTTTTCTAAGGAGACTGGAGACAATAACTGGTAATTTACAGAAAACTGGAAATATTCAGTCTCTTAACAGTAACTTGTTTTGTGTGACTTCCTCTCTTGAGAGGTCAACTGCTTCCTATTTTTTTTCTTCAATTCATAATCATGTACACCCAGGGCTTGGCTCCAGACACTCCTGAAATGGTACTTACTCTGTTGCATTACTCCCATCGTCAATGAAGGAAACACCTATCCGGTTTCCAGGAGGGTACTGAAATCCATGTAACTTGTATTTTGCATAAATAGCTGATGCTACATTAAAATACTGAACCACTCCATGGCCTAAAGTAGAGAATATACAGAAGGAAAAGAGAGCACATTAAGTCACTGAGGCCCATGTTACAATGTATATTGAAGGTCAAACAATATAAAACCCTGATTATCACCCAACAGAGTCAAATATATCAAAAAACAAAGTTCTGTTACATGTGTGTACAACAGCCATATATTCCTATAAACTGAAGCATAAATCAAATTTTGGCAAAAGTATGAACATTATATTTTAAGAAAAATGGAACATTATTAGCATTATATTCTGTCTAATAAATTTAATTTGGGGATAATGGTTTTGCTTACATGATATCAATGCAGCTAAAACCTTAAATTTTTATTATTTGAAATTTAAGAAAGTTCCCTGTCATACTGGGTAGGAAATGCAAAGAGAAGTAGTATATAAAAAGAATATATACTTAAAAGAATTTATACTTAATTTAGCTGCAGTGGGAGAGAGGAAAAAGTGGCAATGTATGAAAAACAAAAGGTAGGTACCAAGTGGGTCTCAGATCCAAAGTCATCAATTTCACATTCCTTTGAAAGATTTCAGCTAATCAAATTAAAAGGGTAATGCTGAGCAAAGGGACAATTTTATACTGGGGTCCTTAAATGGAAAGCCCAGCTGTGACATAATCAAAAGGTTTCATGATGTATTTACAATATAACCTGCTTTGGAGAAAAATAGTCATTGTTTTATGTTTCTCTTTAAAGCCAAGCATCAAACACTTTAATGAAATTAAAACACAGAAATCAAATGACCACATAAAAGTCTAATTACATGATGACATCTTTATTAATGAAAAGGTGCTTCAGTGACATGCATTTTCCAGACACAACTAACCAGAAAAATAATAGAGAAGGTACAGAAGAAAATTCATTTCAACATACCAGATAAATGGTAGTGGATGTGTGGAACACACAAACATACACAAGCAGAATAACATAAATATAACAATAAATGTGCCAGAAAACATGATATTTGTGCCTAGGGATCTTGGAACAAAAAAAATGAAAGCATATGTTTGGGTTAAGGTTGGAAATGGCCTGAAGTAGGTTCCGATGGACAGCTGTGCAAAAAGACCAGCGCTGGGTAAGGCAATAGTATGTGGGGGTGTCTGTGGAAGGGTGGGAGCACTTCAGGCCCATAAGCCCACACTGATTCCTCTGCTTCCCTTCAACACTCATGTAACTCTAAAAGAACTAAATCAGATAACCTATGGAACTGGAAAGATGCCAAATATGATTTATTTATACCACTCCTTGTTTCTAATTCTTTGAAAATCAAACAAATCTTAAATTTACTGAGTGCTCATTATGTGTCAGGACTTACCTTAGGTATTTTACATATTTCATTACTAATTCTGATCCAACCCTAGCAAAGAAGATATTAATAATCCCATTTCATAGATGAGAAAAGGAGAGGCTCCAAAGAGGATAAACAATACACCAAAGTCTTAAAGCTAGTGCCACTGCTGGGATTTACAGCTGGGTTTTATGGATTGCTAGACTTTTTCCATTATCCATCACAACGCCTCCCTTAACAGAAAACCTTAATAAAAATCAAAAGCTTAACAGAAAGATGGGTTGAGCTAACACTAGATAACTAATTAATTGATTAGATACATTAACAGGTTCAAATAGTTGATATTAGAGTCTTGCTTCTGTTGAGAATTGGAAAAATTAGTGAAAGGGCATGTAAGAAGCTTCAATTTGGAAAAGTTTCATTTAGGTGCATAAAGCTTAAGAAAAAGAGACTTAGGGATGAAAGAGGAGGAAACTTACAGTTTTTAACTTTGCCTAGCATTAATCAAAAGAGTACAAACAGGTGTCTTTGTTGTGCTACTAGAAATAGAGAATGGTGTATTTTGTGGGAATTAAAGTATTTTTTAAACTGAATGACATTATATAAAACAGATTCCTACTGGTTTGTTTATTAAGGTATCACTGGATTTTATAGTCCAAAGTAGAGAAAAAGGAAACACAAAACTCCTGTCACACAAATAGTATCTGACATAAAAAGTGTGTTTGGGGAAATGCTATTTAAAGAAAGTGTATATAAGAACACAGACATTATTTTACCATAATTTGAATAAGGATCTCGTTGGACTTCACAATACTCCAATCCTGGTACTATATCAAAAATGCTGAAAAGCTGCTCTTCAGTGAAAGGAACCCTTGAAACAACTGACAGGCGTTTGGAGATAGCTTCCTGGCCTCTGTTGTCATTCTTGTCAAAACTTGAAAATTCAGGTTGTTGTTCTCCAACATTTTAAAAAGAAAAATAAATCCTTAAACTTCTATACACACAAAATTCATGTAACATTTTTTTGTACTAGAAAATAAAAAGTCCATTGCTAAGACAATGTGTTTTGTATTATGTTTCTGGTCACCAGCACTACCAGAAAGAACTAATGACAAGAAAACAGACAACTCTCCCCATTCCCCAATCTTCTATGCAGAAATACAATCAGAAATGTATGATCTAATTTCACAGGTATACATTTGGTATGTAAAAATTGAAAAATATGGCAAATATTTTATCTGAAGTTTTGTGGCAAATAACAACCTCAGACCTTACTTTGATCACTCATTTTCCGCTTTTATTAGTTTCTAATTTTGTCACTTTTCTCCTTTCTGTAACCCTAATTTTAAAGCAGCAGTAGTATTTAAAACAAAGTCTTAGGACTCATTGTAAGGGGATATCTGTACATATATGCTTTATACTTTTTGATCAGTTGTATAAAGGCAGAAGTTCACCTATAAAAGTGATACTGATATAGTTTAATATGCAGATAATGCATAAATAATCAGGTAAAACTATATAATTGGAAATCAATTAAGCAAAATAAGTTATTAAGAACACTAGAAGTCATGCCCAAGATTTTAAGAAAAAAACACATTTAAGATTTTTATTCTCTAGATGAGATTTACAGACTGCCTATAAAAGCATAGTTTTTAAAAACTCAAATTACCTTATATATACAACATATGCTATTGGAGTAAAGGTAGTCCACTTACCAAATGGAAACATATTTACTCTAGGTTCATGTCCCAAAGCCTCTTGCCTCATATTACTATAATAATCCTGTTCTGAGGATTCAGATGCTTTATTTTTAGGTTCGGCCAAGATTGCCCTAAAACCTGAAAAAGAAAACCATTGATTTCAAATTGCAGAGCAAATTTAACATATGGCAAATATACTTGGTTGATAGTGCCTGATAGCTTTATAAAAATAATCGTACAAAGCAAAATGGTCCATCAGACCCATTTCTTTGTTTTCTAGAATATGGCAAACAATAAAGAGGATCAGCAAGAACCCCAAATTATGGATCAATGTAGACATAAAAGTTCAGCAATTCTACTGGACTGTACCTCTGTAGCAGAACACTTGCCTAGCATGTGTGAAGTATTAGGTTAGATCCCTAACACCACATAAAAATAAACAAATAAAATAAAGGAAGGCTGTTTATCTACAATTGCCAAAAAAAAGAAAAAAAAAGATGAGCAATTCTAGGCTGTTCCTTCCAATCGTCCCGATCACAGATGACTTCATTGTTATTTGCCCAGTATTCTCCACATCAAAATCCTATTGATTTCAAACAGAATAAAACCAACCAGTTTGAAATCTTTTTCTGAAAATCTATCCTTAATACTGTGGTTAGGTTAATTGTTCTAAAGGATTTATTATTTTTGAACAATTTACAAGAGCATCCTTACATAGACTAAGCTTGATGTCTTCAAAACCTCCATATATGGTTCCAATGTATTTAGTTAAATTTGTTGCCTACTTTCTCAGCAGGAATATTGTACTTTATAAGACAGCTGCCTTCATAACATGAAGCACAAGACGTATTTATTCGTGGCTCTGTGCCTTTGCTAAAACTGCTTTCATGTTCTCTCCTGCTTGCTCTATACCAGATGCAAATCCTGTCTTCTCTGGATGTGTTCCCAGGCTCATTCAGTGCACCTGTTGTTCACTACTGACAGAACTATACCACACAGTTGTGAACATTTTTTTTTCAATTGGCAAATTTTTACTGAGTCTACTATAAATGGCAGTTACTTTTATAGAGATCTCAGTAAGTCTTTAAGGGCCTATTACTACACTATTTATTAGATGATGGAAAGACAAATAAGACATACTGCTTGCTCTCAAAGAGCCTTTTAAAAATTCTTCTATTATTTTTTGTTTTTTGCCTAGGTCTTATTTTTAGGTCTTTGCTACCCATTATAGATATAAAATCCTGAATGCTGGAAGTTCCAAACATTTCATTTATATCCCTCTACTTAGCATACTGGTAAGTATACCATAGGTACTCAATTAAGGCTGATTGAATGAGAAATTCAGAAGGATCTAAGGAGAAAATAGGTACTCAATTAAGGCTGATTGAATGAGAAATTCAGAAGGATCTAAGGAGAAAATTTGGCTGTGAACCTTAGGATTATCTAAGAGTTCTATTGATTAACAATAATTCTTTCCCACATGTATACATTTTCATAATAGCATAAACCCCAGTAATTTATTCTTCTTTCTAAAAGTAAATATAATTAGAAGTATGGTGACACAAGATATACTTCTTGGTTCCTTTAAAGTTCTTATTCTTTATTATGTACACTAGTAATAGGATAAGATCCAATCACTGCTTGAATTTATCTCATCTATGGTTAATTACTTATGTTAGTAAACCTTATGAATCCTATCCTTAACTTACAAGTTTATTAGCATATTTAATTCTATTTAGGGTTTAGGTCAAATATGAACAAGCATAAAGAATAAGTATTTAAAAAAACTGAAAGGGCAAATCAATTTCTTAATACTTTAAATTCTAAAATACTTTTAAAAAGTCAAAAACTGTTCCACTTGCTATCTTAGTAATATAGTCGCTCTTATTTCTCTTCAGACAGTGCTTCAATGAATATTGCCTAATCACAGTCCTAAAACATCCACTGCTAAGATTAAATTAGCAGGTATTCGCAAAACCAGCATTAGATTCAGTTGTTTAGAATAACAGAGTTTTCAAAAAAGTCTTTAACAATGTTTAAAAACTGCATTCTTACTTCGATCACAGTTTTCTATTGCTTGGGCAGCTTGTGATGGTTTTAAATATCGTACGTAGCCCAAACCTTTACTTTCTCCAGTGACTTTATTCTTAATAATGCTGCAATACTCGATATCTCCATACACCTGTAAAAGTTAAAAGAAATGATCTCAGGGGACTCAAAATTAATAACTGAACAGAGTTTTTCAGAACTAACTTAAATTTAAATTTACTTGTGCTATTTCAAGATATATAGATATTTTAAACTGCTTGTTTCATAGACAAGCAAGCAGAATCCAGTAATTTGCCTAGGCCACACAGGAAACAAACAACAGAAAGAAAGAATTTATACATGGTCCAGATGGCTGCAAAGTTTTGCTCAGTAGTGGTTAAGGGCAGGGGTTCTGGAATTGGGCTTTCTAGATTCAAATTCTGATTCAGCCACTTATTAATTAGGTAATTATGTATCTTCTCTGTGCCTGTCTGTTAAATGGGACTAAAAGCAGTACCTGTCTCACTTGGTTGTTTTAAAGGTTAAATGAACTAATCTATGTTAAGTGCTTATGTAAAGCCTGGGACATACTCAACACTCAATAAACATTAACTATAATATACTGTCTTCTAAGAGAACCATAAGTAATAGTGTATTCTTTTGGAGAACAGCTCAAAATATATCTCTAAAACACAGTTCACTCAGAATTTTAACATCCTATGTGAGAAATATGCAGCATTATTTATTTTTAATGTTGGAAGAAACCCAGGGTATAAATTCTTGGTCTTTAGTATTTATGTTACAAAATTCTATGTAAACAATTAGCAAGCAACTTAATTACTGTATATTTAGGTTAAAATATCTTATTTGTTCACTAAGAAAAGAAGTTATAAATTTATAAAATAAAAAACTTCCTTACTACTGAAGGAAATATGGAATATATTCTTTTGGTATTTGTTGTTTCTGAAGTATTTTATTCAACTCTCAATTGGGGTAGGACAGACAAAGTTTGAAAATTACCTTTTACTGCTTGTTTCTTTTCTTTTGCTATTGCCCACCCTATTCACAGTATTGGGAGGATAAGTAGAAAAGTAAAAAATTAGAACTCAAAACAACTTAAACACCATTTTTTAAAAACTTTCTGTGAAAGTTTACCACTGCATATAAAAGTCAATGGCTAAAGACTTATCTTCAAATTCCATTTACTATGACCTATAGTTCAGAGCTGTAGTTTTTCCTTAAATATAACTCCTTTGTAGGCCCAATTTTACAATTAAAGCTCTTCAAAGTATAAGCTTTTCTGTGAATGAGTAAAATGTCAATATGCCTTAGGTCCATAAAAAATATTAGATAATGCTGTTCACACACTTAGGGCTGCAATGGAAGTAGTGATAAGAGAATGTTTTGAAATTTTAAAGGCCAAGAACAGGCTCTGGATACAGAGTAGTTTTAAATCTTGGCTTTGGTACCTACTACTTGTGTTACCATACTTAAAACTCTGAGCTTTATCCTTCATTTTTCTGAGTCTGTATTTTCATGATAAACGTCTGGGGAGGAGAGAACCCCCCACTACTATTATCTCCTTTTTAGCAACTGTACAACCATTAAGGATTAATATTTTAGTTGTTACATATATTTTGTTTTCTTTTTAGTATTAATATTTTAGTTGTTACATATACTAGCTGATTAGAAAAAACAAGTACCTTAAATTTGTCCCGTAGGTCTTCTTCTGTATAGGACTTTGGTATCATAACAAAGATTCTTGTAAGTTCTTCATCTTCGACATCTCGGTGACTTCCAGATGATCTGGACTGAGCAATGAAAACCTAAGAAACATAACAGAACCCCAAAAATAAAGTCAAAACTTTTTTCTGTTCCTTAAATACATTTACTTTATGATTAAATGCCCATTAGGTTAAAATGCAATTTGATGGAGTCTTTTTTTCTAAGATCTTTATTGCAATGACTTTTTGTATAATATCAATCTCTGCAATGTTTTTTCAAATGCATTTTTCATTTTGTACTTTTGATTAGCAAGTCACTGTACTTAAAAAGAATGTATACTTGGCAGTTGTTTGACAGTGTTCCATAAATGTCCATTATATACTTAAGATATTATATACTTTATTTTGTCTACTTGTTCAATTAGATAATAAGAATATAAATATCTGATTATGAATTATCCATTAATTCTGTCAATACTTCATGTATTTTTAAGATTATTGGCTGAATAAACAAATGGGTTTTCTATATATTTTTTTGACTGATACTTTCATTCTTATGAAATTATGTCATGTCTGTTAATATATGAACTGAAGTCTATTTTGTCTGATACTACACCAGCTTTCCCCCAACCCCTCAGCATGACTCTGATAAACAGCACTTAGTTGGTTTTTCTTAAATCTTATAAATCTCTTCCCTTTAATTGGAGTATTTAGTCATTTACATTTAATGTAACTGCTGATACAGTTGGGTTTGAGTCTAGATTGTCATATTTTGTTTTCTTTCTTAGTATTAATATTTAGAAAAAGTAGCATAACCATGTTCTGAGTCATCTCAGTGATTATTCAAATGATCTCCTGTGTGAGTAGGAAAATGCACAGGAGGCTCAATACTGGCAATTCTGTTTATTGAAATATTTTTTTATGACATAAGAGTACTCTGAATTTGCTTTGTAGTATTGATTTCTAAATGTACTTTGTTTTTATACTAATCTAAAGCAATGCTAAAAATCTGTGACTAAGAGTTGGGGTTGTAGCTCAGTGGTAGAGTGCTTGTCTGGCACATGTGAGGTACTGGGTTCAATCTTCAGCACATAAAAATAAATAAAGGTACTGTGTCCATCTACAACTAAAAATATTTTTTAAAAATCTGTGACTAAGATCATGGATATGTTTATATAATTATAAACATAATAAGTTTAATGGCTAGTTTTAAAAATAACTTGAAGAAATGTAATGTAATTAATTAAATCACTACACATACAAGAACCCTTGAGGTTTTGTGTTTCCTTTAAAGTGTCAGTATATCATTCAAGTATGAGAAAACCAGGACTATGAAATTCCAGAGAAGGAGACAGGAACCCAAAGGACACTCAACTTAAAAAGCCATGGGATTTTATAAATGTTGAAAAAAAAATGACATCAGAGCCATGGGGAAAGCAGGCCATTATTTTTGCTCAAAATACAGCCTGACATAGAGGTGTGGGATTCCGCTTATGAGACAGGGCAAGAGACAACTCTAAATGAAGTGTATGTCCTGTTATTTCTTCAGTAATTTACACTACATGGCTCTGTGTGGTAGAATATGCCTATAATCTCAGCAACTCAAGAGGCAGCAGTTGGAAGATCCCAAGTTTGAGCTAGCCTCAGCAACTTAAGAAGCCCTCAGCAGCTTAGGGAGATCCAATCTGAAAATTAAAAAATAAAAGGACTGGGTATGTAGTGTAGCTCAGTAGTAAAGTACCCCTGGGTTCAAATCCCAGTACTCTCCCCCAGATCTACACAATATGTGAAGCACTGTTTGAGGCATTAGTAATAAGAGTAATGAGTAACACAGAAATGGTTAACTGCAAACCTAGCTTAGTGGATGCCCCAGAAATAAATGATCAATAGGAAAATACGAAAAGGGAAGTTCTAAGAATATGCAAAGACACTACAGGAAATAAAGGGGACTCAGGTAAAATGTGATTAGATATTCTATCAGATGCACACTTCTAAACTTTTGAGGATTGAAGTATTTGAAATCGCCAATAAAGGATGTAGAGCACTTCAACACTAATGGAAGATTTCTCCATACATATTTTTATTTTCATACACTATGAAGACATATTCTAGATGGGGTATTCTTGCAAAGCTAGAACCAAGATTCTTCTACTTTCTAGGTTTACTTTTTTCCTCCAGGTAATCCATCCCATAGCTGATCACAGACTACTTTTTACTTGGACAATCTTTTGACCGGAAGCCTGGTGCTGTAATATTTTTGTCTTGGAGATCCTTTGGAACTTTGCAAAAACAAAGTACATGTGAAAAAACAGAAGTTAAATTAATTTAACTGGAAATACTGAAAAAAAGAAAGAAAACCAGATGTGCTCCAGTGGGAGACAACCTGAGCTGTAGCTGCTGAAGAATGAGCCTTGATTGTCTGGCTAGGTACAATAGTGATACAATCTTCTGGCTGAAACTGAGTGGACAAAAATGTGAAAAACAGAATTGTAAACTTTAATTCTCTTTGGGAACAAGCACTTTAACTTCTCTATGGCTGAGGGAGGCTATGTTTCTGTGTCTAGACTAAATTTCCTGTGTAGGAATTTATTGAAGGCAGGCAGTTTCAAACTTGGGTCTCTTTTTTGAGTTGCCTGCATGGGCTGAGATCATGTTATATTCCAAATTATAAAATCCATTACATTAAGGCCATAAATACAAAGAGATGAAAATTATCAATCTATTGCAGGTATCAGCAAATTGTAGCTCCTTGTTTTTGGTATAATTCATGATATAAGAATTTTCTTGTTTTTAAAGGGCTATTGAAAAAAAGAAAGATGTGACAGAGACTGTATGTGGCCTAAAAAGTGGGAATTATTTATTATGTGGCCCTTTACAGAGGTTTGCCAACTCCTGAACTAGTGTATGCTATCGCTCTACAATTAATTTCAGGAGGTAATTATCATATATCTTTTTCCTTTTAGTTCTGTCAATAAAGCTTCATGTATTTTGAAGCTCTATACTGACATGAACACACTAGATTGTCATGTATTTTTGTTAGTGTCTACTGTGTTACTGGTATATTCCCAGGCTCTTTCTCTTTTGTGTATGGAGGAGGTACAGGCAGGACCTCCAGAGACTATAATATCTGAGTTATTAATTTAGAATTCCATATTAATATTCTTCTCAATTTTCTGTAAATAAAAAAAAACAGAAAATAAAAGAAAGAGGGGAAAAAAAGAAAATTGAGAGGAAAGAAAAAAATTTGTGGAAAATTCCAATAGAATTGCATATACAGCAACTACCTCTAGAAGACAGGTGAAGAGTACAATTTAAACGACTGTTAGATTCTCAGGACTGAGTCCTGATTTGAAGTCACAGTAAGTAAGGAGTGACATCTTGGCTACTATTGATCAATAAACATATATGGAGGGTTTCCCTTCTGCCAGGAATTGTGCTAAAAGGATAGATTAAGTCAAATAACCCTGAAAATGACCCTTTCTTCTATGGGCCCTTAATTTTACAGATGACTAAGTATAGAAATAGAATATAAATACTTCAAGAATGAACTGAGTATACAAACAAGAACTAAGAACATACAAGTAAACATCTTAAAATAATACAAAAGCCACACTACCATCACAATGATTTGGTTCCTCTTAAGGGAGTTTACTTTGTTCTCTTTTTAAAAAATATTTTGTTTTAGTTGTAGGTGGACATAATGCATTTATTTTATTTTTATGTGGTGCTGAGGATCGAACCCAGGCTGCTAGGTGAGAGCTCTAGTGCTGAGTCACAACCCCAGCCCCTACTTTGGTCTTTTTTCAAAGAAAACTGCCATTTAACAGGATCAATAGTCAAATGTTCGGCATTAATATCTTCACAAATAGGGCTTATCTAAAATAATTTCAAAACTCACAGAAGCGTGAAGAATATGTAATAGGGGCCATTTAATCACCTGCACTTAGTATTACATACATGAATACTTTTGTTTGGTATTGGGGAAAAGATCCAAACCCAGAGGGCCACAATTTCACCTATGTACTTGGCGCGAGTTAAGTTTCCTATTTACCTGAGGAAAAGCAGAGATATACATAGTAAACCGAAATGTCTGAGAGAGGAGGGTCAGAAAACACCAAAAGGTAAGCCAGGGGTGGGTGGGGATGATAACAAAAGAGGGGCAGTGGCCACCTGGGAGAGGCGGAAACACAGCTCCTGCCTCTCTAGTGCCCAAGGCTGTCCCTCCCACTCGCAAGGGAGAAAGAAGTTCTCTGGAAGGCGCCCCTCCGCGCTCCTGGGTGCACCCTCCGAGGCGGGGACCCTCTCAAAGCCACTCCCAACCACCCCCGCGCCTGCCAGGTGCTGCCTGGTCAGCTCCGGGGAGTGGATGTCCACCCCTCCCCCGTCCTGGCACAACACCAGGGCCCGTCCTAGCCCCGACCCCGCGGGCACCCGGACCCGGGCACCCGCACCTTGATGGGCTTGATGTCGTTGGGGCCAAGGCACTGTCCGTGCATCTCTTCCATAGCCCTGCAGGCCTGCGAGCTGCGGGCGAACTTGACGAAGGCAATGCCCTTGGACTCCTTAGTGTGCTTGTCCCTCACCACCCAGATGTCCTGGATCTCGCCGAAAGGCGAGAAGCGCTCCCTCAGCACAGACTCGGGCGTGTACTTGCTGATCACCAGAAAGATGCGGCTGTTGGGCGGTTCGTCCAGGCTGTCCACTCCCGGGCGGAAGCCTCCGCCGCTCGCAGAGCTACCAGCTTCGTCCATGATGCCCCACCTCCGCGAGGGAGCCAGGCCCGTGTCCCTGTCAGTCCTATCTTTTTCCGCTGTGTCGGACATGGCCGCTGTAGCGCACCCAGTTCTAGCGAGTCCGCCGTTGGGCTTCCGGAAGACGGAGGACTCTAGCGTCAGGAGCTGTCCCGCCGCAGAGGGTGCTGGCTTCCGGGGGCAGCTTGCAGCGCCCCCTGGCGCCGCGGGGGTCCCTCACCAAGTCCAGTCCTTCAATCCTGCTAAACCCAGGTCCAAATATTAGTTTGTGTAATCCTTAGTTCCCTACAGCCAGAATAGTCTTGCCTGGTGCAGGGACTTTGCCAGCTCTTGCTTTACCCTACCCAAGAACCCAAGGATTCTTGGTTGTCATTGTTAAAGAAAAAATTATTCAGGACATTTCTTAAAGATGGCTGACTTTATTCAAGGGGGCCATCTGGTGATAGGTATAGGGACCTGTAATGGGGTCTTAGAGCCATGGTAGGGGGACACGGGTTGGGGGAGATACTGGTTTCAATTCTGACTTTAATAAGATAAAAGGGCATTTATAGCCAGAAGCAAGATTAGAATAGATAGAAAATTACTGAAGGTCAGGGATAAGAGGAATTCTAGCTTAACAGAATTTTTTGCTGAAGGCAGACCATAGTGATAAGATTTTATTAGGAGTTAGATACCAAAATTGGGGATTATCATTAAACTGCTTGTGAGGATGGCCTTAGCTTGAGTCTAAGCAACTTCATTTTAAAAACTCCAGTTTGAAACCTACAGTCTCACTAGGCACATCTAACAGAGCCCTCAGTATAGCCCTCAGACAAGTTACTTCCCTTCACCCAGATAAACAGCCTCTGGCAGGCTGTCCTTACCTGATTAGAGGGGGAAAAAAAAGCTAGACGATCAGAGTGGAGACCACCAGACCAGATGTTTCTGACCCCAGGATAAATGATGTCATGGAGAAATCCTGTGGTAGCTGATAAGAATTGAAAGGGGGAGGTCAAAAGACCCCAAATTTAGTATAAATAATAGAGCTAACGAACAGGGATTCAGCCAGCCGAAACAAGGATTCACTTGCTCTGGAGAGCCTGATGAGGACCTGGACTGACATTCCCCTCTTGCCATAGTTTTCCTGATCCTCTGTGTGATCCTTACCGAACAGAGTCAAATCCAGAACCAACTGTGTCTGTTGATTTACTCGACTCCCACAAGCACAGAAAAGGTGTAGAACAGAAAAGGCGGCTGCTCATCTAGGAACTAGGAAAAAATGTAGAGAGCAAAGAAAGTAGGAAATGCCTACTGACTTCTAAACCTTCTTGTTAGTGGGTCTTGGAAGAGAGGTCAGCAGAAATAAGGCCTGGATTTAGCAGTAGTATCAGAATGAAGTGAAAGGCATATACCTGAAAGTGGACTAGGGTACGAAGACCTGTGCTTCTATGAAGTCAAACAGATAAACATTTATTGTGCAACAATTATGTGCTAGGATCTGTGCTAGGAGCTATATATACAACCGGGAACAGAAATAGTTTTGCCACTAAATTGCATAAGCTTAGACAAGTTATTTAGTATTTCCAGCTAGATTACTTCAACTGTAAAGTAGAAATAATGTTTCTTACTAACTGGGATAGTTGTCAAATTCATTCCTTTAACTATGGTGCCCTCTCTTACCTCCTTGATAGTATGTAGTTGTTTGATGGTAACAAAGAGTCAGGAATTCGAATTGTTATCCTGGATTATATACTAAAAAGATTTTCATTCTTTTCCTTGTTTTACATTTCATAACTGTACAATGAACGCTCTGTTTACAGTAGAGCTTGACAAGTTTAGGAAATAACTTAACTTTTCACTTCTCTTTATCTTACCCAGATCAATCAAGGTGAATGAAAATAACATAATGTAATAATTTTATTGATGTGAAGTAGTGTAAAGATTCTGAGCAATACTAGTTGCACACAAGTGCCATCTAGTGGAAAATTTATAATTTTCTTAAACTGCACTATCAGCAATCAAGAATTTTAGCCCAATATTCAGAGCAGCTAATTTTTTAAAGAAAAATACTGGAATGTCCTAGGAAAGAAAAATTTCTTTTCTACTCAATCTTATGAAATACCACATGTACAAGGGGGGGGGAAGAAAATTACTTATAAATTATAAAAATGTAATAAACATATTTTCTTTATATGACTTATTTATGTTAAACAGATTTATCCAGATATAATTCCCATTTCAAGTGCTCTATCAGTATGTTCACAAAGTTGTGCAAGCATCAGGATCCATTTTAGAGTATTTCATCCCTCAATGACAGAAGTCATATTTTAAACCACATAACATCTTTGAACATGAATTACATGTAACTAAAACACTGATAGTGTCTGAGGTTCAAAAGAATGATTATTAACCTTATTTTAGAGAAAAGACATGCTGGGCATTTGCAGATTAAATTTTTTCAAGGCTTTAACATATAGACTATAATGCACAATTATTAATATAATAAACACTTATATTGACTTCATATAAAATTAAGACGTCCTTTGACGTTTTTCTCTCCCACATCTTATGAATCAATCCACTCCTCCCCCACCCCCTTTTTTAAAATGAGAGGTAAGGGGCTGAGGATGTTGTTCAGTGGTGGAGGGCTTGCCTGGCATTCATGAAGTCCTGGGTTCAATCTCTAGCATGGAAAAAAGAATAATGTGGGAGAGACGATATTGTGACCAATTTCTGAAACTCAAAGATAAAATAGTAAGTTTTTATTTTTGTTTCCCAAATCTCTCAAACTATGATGTAAATGCAATGAGGCTTACTTGGTTGGGATATGAATCTTCAGATATTATATTTAACCAAAAACGTTTTACTGTACCTGCAAATTTTCTATAGACTTAACTACTGGTAATTATTGGTAACAAATTCATAAATTTCAGATTGTTATATGTGAAAATAGGTCAGAATGTCCATTTGTCCCATCTGTATACTATCTACTAGTGATTAATGTATGCAAGCACTTAGCTTGGCTGTGATAGGCACTCAAGAAATGGTAGTCTCCTTGGGTTTGCATGCCTTTGAACTTGAGAATAATATTTAAACCCTGATTTTTCCCCACAAACCTGGTTCTTTTGGTTGATGACATAGCTTTTAAATGTGTTGATAACACGACAGAACTCATAGGTACCACATAGTTTCATTCAACCATCTGTAATTGTGGCTATTTAAATTAAAATTACTTGAACTTAATTATCAATTAAATCATTACAATTAAAATCATTCAGTTCCTCAGTATAAAATATTACCCATATTAAAGTCCACACAGAATATCTCCATCACAGCAGAAAGGTCATTTGGACAGCAGTGCTCTAGAGAACAAGAATATTGAATAAAAATCCTATTTCCCTAATTCATAAAAATATTCACTATCAATCACATTTCCAAATACCTTGATAGTTAAACAATTTTAGAAAATTATTTCAATATTTCTATTTCCTAGTTACAGTGTTCTACTCAAGTAGTAATATAAACTTAAGTTTCCCTACTTATGTTTTTTTAAACACAACTTTGTCTTTTTCACCTCTCTGCCTTTAATTGCCTTTTCCTTTTGACTCTCTCAGTCGGCTTCCCTCTATATCTTCTTTCTTTACTTTTTCAGGACCTTTTTTTTTTTCTGTTTATATTCCTGCTTGGTTCCCCATTTTTGGCAGTTACCACATTGCAAGCTTGCTGTCAATTGCTGTATTATTGTATAGTCTGTTTGTAATGATGTAAATGTACTGTATTTTACATCTTGCTCCATCTAGATTGTAGCTCATGGAAAACTGGGGCTGAGGTGTTCAGTGTTTATATTTCCAAGTTGCCTGGCACTGTGACTTGCCTATAATAACACTCATTTTCTTTTGTTGACTTTGATTTGATTGCCGTCGCCAAATGCTCTCAGACCATTAATAAAGCACGAAGTTTCTATGTCAGGCAAGACCTTGTACACATTGTGCATACACAAAAAATAAATTCTCTGGTTGAGTAACGGTTGAACACACAAAAAAAGACAAGCTTTGGGGGCCTTATGCTTGAAAGGCATTCACGTTGTCACAATAAGACTCAAGGGGGCTGCCGCATGGCGGGTGCAAGGCTTTAACCTCTGCGAGAGTTGGGATCCCGCGGGATCAGACGGGGGCCAATCAGCTGCGAGGATGGATCCTGCCATTAGTCCTTGAGTCCACGACCCTCTGAGCGCACGTCTGACGTGGGCTGCGGAGAAGGGACTCAAAGCATGCCTGCCCAGCCCCCAATATCCAAAGTGGGGAGTGGGCCCCCGCAGGGCAGCGGCCCAAAGGAGGCAGAGAGCAAAGCCCCTGGCTCCGTGGTGGGTGCGGGCTGGCTGGGCAGACGTATGGTTGGCAGAGGGCAGCCTGAGGTGGAAGTGGTGACATGGGGAGGGAGTTTGGAAAGCCCCACTCGTGTTGCAGCTCAGGGGTTCATTCACAGCCACAGAGAAGGGGTAAAGGACAGCTTTGGGAATTCATGGAGGTGAGGTGATTTACTCAGGGTTCCATTGTTATTACTGCCTTCCACTTCAGTCCACTACAACATGGATCCCACATCCTCCCAAAAATATTCTAGTGAGCTTCCCCTCCTGCTTTCATCACTTCAACTATGTGTGGGCTTTGTAAGTTTTAAAAGTTTTATTGGTACCTTGATGGTTCTGACCCCCTCTGCGTTCCTCTTTTTACACAAAGTGAGACTTGACAATGGTCTGTACGCTTATTAAGAACGGCTTCACTTACTTCTCTTTGTTTTCTCACTTGGGAAAAAATTTAAAAATCTGCAATTGTATTCAAAGAAGGATCTCTTGATCACTTTTAAAACAGATTTTTTTAACTGCTTACAAATTTGTGACCCCAAATATGCCCCTTAATCTTTGTGTACCTCATCTTCCTCACATGCGAAAGTAGAGATGTGAATAGCAACTATCTCATAGGTCTTTTGTGAAGATTAAATGACTTGAAAATATGTAAAAGGCTTAGAATATACCTGAAATATAGTAAGCACATACCATGTTTGCTACTTTTATCATCTAGTTAGTATTGGAATACTTTATTGTTGGATGAACGATCAGGCTC